TTGTTACAGTCATCAATTTCTATTGGTGTTTTTATTCATGGTTTTTTATCTCCTTTTTTTTTCTTGTTTTCTATCGCTTAAAAATCTGTAGGTGTGGTTTTTCACTGACACCTGTCATACCGGAGCACATTTGATGTGTATAGTTTGAAATAAGTTATTCTAAACTAAAACAATTTTTAATTGAAGGTGATTACTTGGCAACATCGGGTGATTACGAAATCATATTCCACTTATCAACGCTGCAGGGGCGTACCAAAGTAATATTTTAAATATTTATTTAAACAGTAAAATTGTATTGTTATTATCTTCTTATTCTTCTTCTTTTGGAGCCTATCTTCTGTGGATGTTAGCAATCATGTTGGTCTATACAACTTTATTGACAGTCTGATGTTCTTCAACTACGATGTCCTTTTGCGCCCTTGAAATCTTTTGCCTTCTACCTAGCCTTGTAAAATTAGTTGAATTAGGACTCTTTTATCCAAGAATAATTAAAAGATGTCAATTGGCTGCTAAAATTGGAATACCTTTCAAACATCTTCGAAATAATAAATAAAACCACCATTTCGTTTCAATGCAAAGGAGGAGTACAATTAGATAAAATCAAAACCTTGCGTAAAAAAATTGCAATTTTTAAAGCATGTGTTGAAAATAGGAACCTCAGAAATTTCTTTTGATTACAGGAATTGAATTTGTAATAACAAATGAAATCAATCCTCAAACGAACTTCTTTAAAATTGTTATTTGCAAGGTTTTTTAAGAAATTATTGTAAACTATGTTCCTGACATTGACTCAGATGACTTATTTAGCTAGATGATGGACCCGTTTTTGTGCGACCCAAAAAATAAACCTATCGGAATGACAAATGAAGTTTTTCAAAATCTACTTGAGATCAGCGAAGATAGCGGTTTAAACTTCCCAAGATTTAAAGATCCCCATAATTATAAAGGATATAATGAAAACATCATCGTAACAGTTTCATTTATCACATTAAGTAAATATTTTTGAATATCAAATGTACTGTATTTTATCGATCTGAAATAAAATTTATATTGTCAAATGAGCTTCAGAATTGTATTCTTTTCATTTTTTGTTGTTTCTCAAATCGCTTTAAGGGTTGGTGTGCCTCGAAATATGTTTAGCCCTACAAGGGTGCCGCGACTAAAAAATTTTGAGAACCACACTGCCCTATACATCAGTGTTGTGTCCTTGAATCTGCAAGATTTATGGTTTACCAACTCTCCTGATGGTATGTGGCAAGGAACCATGATATAAGGAAACAAGGTATGCTCACTAGGTGGACTCGTTTTTGCACATTTCTGCGCCGACCAAAATCCACCATCTTTTCAGTATGTCACATGCGTGTAGGGATGGTGACCTGATCCCGTACCAGTTACTTTGGAACATGTATTTTATTTATACTTGTGGAACTGATCCCTAACACCAATATATTATAATAAACGAGTACGGGTTTCATTGCATTTGTCCTTAATTTTTATCGTGCATTTCTCAACGTTTACAAAGCTTTAGATAAATATCAACAGATGACAATTGGCGTGAAGTAGACAAAACTATCGCCATTTTTTTATGAACTTTTTATACAATCTCTGAATAACAGTAATTTAAGTATTTGAAGTTTTACAGTCATTTAAATAACTATAAAGAAATCTAACAAAATACAAATAATGTTGTCGTTATGTTTAGATATCTATTAAACGAATAATAACAAACTGATTTCCAAACCAGTATTTTTTAACAGGTATATTTGTTTACGCGTATCAGTTTGACCTGATCCACAAAAATACTTGGATCAACCACCTCTACATGCTTGACGTATGCTTTGTTTTGCATTTTTTAACCTTACTTTGCAATGTATTGGAATTTAAAAGTAAATTTGTGTCGATTTTTTTAAAATTATTTTAGCAGGAGTCTGTTTAGATCATTTTAAATCTGAATTAATTGGATTATTGTAGAATATTAATTTTATTTTATTTAATTTAACTACGATATTTTTTATCAAATTTGTACATATTTGAATTGCCGCCTTCAAAATGGCGGATTTTGGTCGTAAACGCGATTGGCTGTTCAAAATAGATGCGCGTGAGCATACCATGTTTCGTTATATCATGCAAGGAACGCAAATGTTCCGAATAATTCTAATTGTATTTTTTTGTATAAATTTGCAATTATACGTATAAATACAACTAAAAATCCTTTTAACCTACAATGTAACAAAACCATTATTGAAATGAATATAAATTTGTAATGCTCTATAAACGCAAACTGGATTTTACAAAGGGAAAACCGTTTGTCGTGTTGCAGTACAAATTGTTACTTTTCAACTCTCAATAATTCATTGGCTGTCTCTGATATTTTCCATTACCCACTCTGGTTATTATTTCGTTTCGTTTTGAATATACTGACACGAACTTCGAAATCAATGGATTATTAGAAAATTGGAAGGAAATTACAAAGAGTTGAAAGCTGAATCTTCTATTAGATAGAAATTGTGGTGTTACTTCGTGATTTTAATTTTTATTATTTGCTTTGTTCGAGATACAGACAATGGAATCGATACGGTTTTTCTTTTTGTTTTTTTTTTAGCAGCAGGTCTGGTTATTATTTATTTGTGTGGTTTTTTTAAATAAACTAAAAATATTTTTGTATTATATAAATTATGCCTCCGTTAAAATCATAACTTAAACCGTGAAAACTGTCGCTATAAACAGAATATTTTGGAGGATATCAAAATTTATCCGTTTATTTTTGGCAGTCAATTTGGCGTTAAATTTGGTTTGATTGACTGGCCAGTTGGTTGTCAAACCCAGTGCCAATAAAACATACACACACACACACACAAATTTGGTTTGATGATTTGTGTTTGGTTATGTTTATATCATTAGTAGTTTGTTAGTTATATATTACAGTGAAGATAAACAATTAAAAAACCACCCTTAATGAAAGCGAATCTGCTGGCTTACGGTTCAAGCTAGCAGAATTAAAAAAAAACTTTGTACCGATGGCATATTTTTCATCCATTTTCACCCTCACCTTCAGGACTTTGAGGTCTTCCTCCGCTTTACTAATCCATCTCGTTCTGGGTCTACCTCTTCTGTTGGGGCCGATTAACTTTCTGGTTATTACTAGTTTAGGCATTCTGTTTGGTGCCATTCTTTCCACATGTCTCAAACCATCTGATTCTTTGTGCCTTGACGAACTTAGTAATGGTAGGTTCTTTGTATAAAGCCATTAATTCATTGTTTTTTCTTCTCTCCCAACCATCTTCTGTCTTCCGTTCTCCGAATATGCGTCTCAATATTTTCCTTTCCCATCTTTTCAGAGTATCCCTTTCCTTCTTATTTAATGTGCATGTCTCACCGGCATATGTTACTGTGGGTCGAATTACTGTTTTATATATTCTGAGTATTCAAAAACTCTTGTACACAGCTTAAAACACACTCAGGGACAGTACAGAGGCGCTACATTTGCATTTGCCAAAATTGAGTAATAGTGTCGTCACTATTATTTAATTTAATCAATCTAATATGCGATTAATACAGCAGCTGCCACTTCTTGATTGAAGGTACACTTTGGTCAGATCTATGGATGTACCTAATAAAGACAAATCTTTTTAATTTTTTAATAATAGGTGTGCAATATGTCCTGACCTTCCTTTACAATTAGGTAATTCATGTAATAGACATAATAAAACTATTTTAATTGGAATATTGTCTACCTGGTAATTATTCTGTGAAATATAATAATTTCATTGCATTTACTAAAATTCAACTTCAGTAATTTTATATTAATAAAAGGGACTCAGGATTCGATTTCGCTTAGCCATGTACTCACGACTCGAATCAGAGTCATTTTTTTAAAATAGTGCTAGCAGAGCACTTTTGTATTTCCAAAAAGATTTTGCTTTTAGATAGCGTTAATGCGTAGCTTATGGAATGTTTCCTATTAACTGTAGCTTAGGAAGTCAAAAATTATGATGGTAAATAAAATTCAGTAAAAATCTGGCAAGCAATGTATACTTTCAGTTACAAGAAGAGTAAGTAAAATTGTAAAAATAGATTTTATATCACCTTAAATAGAAAAAGAAATTATAAAGGGTAAATCTCAGTTCACTTTACAATCGACATATGACACCTATAATAAAATTTAAATTTGTTTATTTTTGTAGAGATGAGTTCAAATTACAACAAAGAATTACTGACTACAACATTTAGAAAACTTTGCAATGATTTTGATCGATGTGATTAGTCCATATATGCAAGAAGAGCGAAGAATATCTGAATTCCCAAAGAATTAAAGATTATAGCACCTTTGAACTTTTATGGTATTTCAAGCTATCATTATCCTCTGGACACACATACAATTTTGCTTTAAGTCAACCAAGCATGAGTCGTTACATTGATTAAGTTACTAAAATAGTTTCTAATAACTCATCTAATAAAAAATTGGATGAAATTTCCGAAATACTATTTCTAACGATTTCAGGAATAAATATAGCTTTCACAATGTTTGGGGGCTATAGATTGCACTTATACTCGTTGCAATTAAATCTCCTTTAGAAAACTACCCGCCATTCCATACTATTATAGAAACCGAATATCAACAAAGAACGGACACAAGTAACATACATATTATTTTCAGCGAACCACAAATTTCTCTTCTTCTTGTTTCCTAATTTTTTTTCTACTTAACTCGATTTTTAACTCAATTTCTACGTTACAAATAATTTAAGCACGATCATCCTGCGACATTGCCGTATTAATTAAGTAAAGTGTATTCCTCTACAAAATTTTTTTAACGGTCCTCTATAACATATTATAATATGTCTTAATAGAGTATCAGTGTTAAAAATTTATTAAATTTTATATTTTTTATTGAATATCGAATACATCTTACAGAATACACCCCTTACTCTTGAATCATTCAGCGTTTTAAATTTTAAACATAGCAATAATACAAAAATAAAACGATTTACACACAAAAGACAGTTGATTATGATTATAATTTAATTTTTGTACAACGTTAGATCTTTATGACAATGCACATAACCTTTTCCTTCGTTTTCGAACCACCTCAGTTTCTTACTTTTCTTTAGCTCCTTAGCACGTTTCGCCCATTTCAGTTTACTCTGTTTTCGTAAGCTCATTTTAAGCACATCTTCTTTCAAGATCAAATTATATGTATTATAGGCGTTAAACATGCTGCTTCTAAACTTCGGATGAATCTACAATAAATAATTATGTTTAATTTGATGGATTTTATTTATATCGAAACAGTCAATTTATTCGGTTTTTAATTTTTACTCGGTTATGATATTGTATGTATAGAGTGACCAACTAAGAATTCGGCCGTATCTTGGAAATGAATAAAAAAATATAATCGAATTGTATTCTACACAAAATTGTCTTTTTAGACAAGAGGTTGTAACGAGTCACTTCAATAATCCTTTAATCATTTTTAAATCAAATTTTTAAATCAATATCCCATTACTATTTCTTAATTTTTAATTTCTAAGTTGGTATTAAACACTGTTTGTAGAGGTGTGCTTATTAATTCTTTTAGACGAACTAGTTCAAGAGACTATTTCACAAAAATGAACTAGTTCGCGAAAGAACTATTTGTAGGATCGAAATCGAAATCCAGTCCTAATTATTAATAACCCTAATAACCCTGGTTATTAGCTGGTTATTAGGACATAACTGGTTGCCAGATGTCTCGTCTCAATCATCACAAGCTCTTTCACACCGTTTTCTTCGGTTTTCAGTCAGTCATTCACTACCGTAAGACGTACAAGTAGTTCGGATTCGGAACCATTTCTTTCGATCGTATGTTTAGGTTTAAATGTTTTAAATTATTATATGATTAGTTAGTTTTTCTTTATAATATATTTTCTTAATCAATCCTTACAGATAAGTAAGAGTCGAAATAGAAGTTTTTTTATGGGATCATTTCGAGAAAAACGATAAAAATCAAAAATCTGCAAAATGAAATTACTGTTCTTGTGATGTTAGTATTAAGTGGTTCACTGGGCAATTAATCAAGACATTTAAGAATGAAACACCCTGCTATCAATCTCAAATATTTCAATGTTGAAAGATTCATAGAAAAAGGACCCGAAAAACCAAAAGTATATTTCAAAAACCTCAACCTTCAACGTCAAAATCAGTTTCGCTAGTAGGACAAATAGGAGAAGAGGAAGAGAAAGCAGTTATAATTCTTAAGAAAAAGCCTGCTCCTACTCCCCTTATTTCTATAAGAGACTGTGTAATTTGACCCGTTTTATTCGAACTATATGATCTCATTGATTCATTATTTTCTTCTTTAGAAGTTGAGACACTATTTATAATGCAAATCGTTCGCAGTGAACTAGTTCTATGAAAATTAATAAACTAGTTCAATTAGTTAAGTTGAAAGAATCGTTCATTTGAACTATTTCGATGGTGAACTACACATCCCTATTAAACAGCGATTCCACCAGCAGTCGTTTTAGGTAGACCTGCTTATCCGACTAACAATTAACAATTAGCGCGCATTCTGGTTTGAACTTTGGACGAAATAAGTTCGGTCAACTAACTATATTTTGTACAAGTAAATGTAGGCGGCACGAGTATGGAAAGGTTTTAGTTTATTTTGTAGTGTGTACATTTGATTTATAGCCACTCGTAGCCGGTAAGTGGATTCAATTATCAATAAAAAGTATAAAAACCGTCACCCATTTTGATTCCTATATTGTGATGTTTCCCCATATAGTCGATATATCTATCTGTAATTTTTCACATCATTTCCTTAAGAAATATTCTACGTCTAAATTGAAATTTATAAGATAAAACCATATGTCAAATTTCTATTTTACCTTCCGGCCTTAAACAAACATATAATTATTAATCAATTAAGACTATGTAGAAAAATATTCTGTCTTATACCTTTCTTTTTTTTAATCCCCGTAGAAGACATCAGGGAGGATGGCATATGGGAGGCAAAATGGATATCGACGGGGATCAACCCGGAAGACTGGTGAGTTTATTATTAATTTTAATAATAGTATTCATCTTAGTTCTATACTACGTTCCACGTTTAGAAAATAACATTGCGGAGATATGGCCATGTATTTCTTATGGACGATAGCAACGCGGCGTTGCCACGACACACACAAGCACAATTTAGGGTTGTATAATTTGTATTTTTGTTTCCACAAACACGAATTAAATTAATGTTTTTTAACGTAATTGACCAAAAGTGCCCATTCGAAACAAGAGATGAAAAGTAGGGAAAATGATTTTAATTAGATAAATAGTATTTACAAAAGATAATTTTATTTTATCTTATTTTAATTATAGTAACGACAGTTTATTTGTTTTTCGGTGAGAATACGATATGCCATGAATCATATAAATCAGTAGAAAATATTGACCGCTTGGAATGCGTATATCTAATTACTAATTGCAACTTAAAATAATACGATGTGCGTATGTCAGCTATTTTATGTCGTCTCTGACTACATAATGATAATAAGGCTTTTATTTAGTAGTTATTCTGACTTTAGAGTTAAATATTAATTGAAAATGAAAATTCAAAAATTAAGCAAAGGGAATATCTTGGACATCCGTGCAAAAGAGAGTGTCTGAGAGTTTTGGCAACACTGATCTCCATAAGCGTAATGTTATTTTCTTAACGTGAAACAAAGTATAGGTCCAAGATGGAAATGGTTTCATCGATAGGAATATTGGTAAACAAAGAAACAATGTCAAAACTAGTATATCTGAGGGAGAAATAGAAATATTGTTCAGAAGACCAATAAAATGAAAAGAGTTTTTGACAAAAGACGAAGTTTTTTCGGCTAATGGTTGGAAAGATAAAGCGAGATGTTTTACCAAAAACATCGCAATAAATAGCTCTGATGTATATGTTTGCCACTCTTTTTTAAATCTTGTTCATCAATAATAATATTCTGGCTATGTTTAACTTGTACAAATGCAACTTTTTTTTTAACATTCGTTTTTAACATATCGTTAATTTTTTTATATATTTTTCTCTTTATATTTTTAATGTAAACGTGAAAGTTTTATAATCCGCACTAAAATCAAATAAAACCAATATATCGAACGCCAAACTACAGAAAAACACACTGTTACAAGAAACTGAAAAAAAAATGTGGATGATATCAATTGAAAGGTCTGTCGGAAGATAAATCCACGGCCATTCCGTACTTTTTGCGGGAAACTGCCGTAGTCGGAATCGAAGGAGGAAGTTTTCGGGAGTTTTCATATAGAAAGAAAAGAGAAACGTATTGGCTGATTGTATTGCCACCCCTCAGCGATTTGTTTCGGACGATAACCACGTCTAAGAAGCTTTTTAGACGGGATGTATAGTCTGGTTAGAATTGACAAAATGGATATCATGGTTAGATAGATGTTTATTTTTCCGTAGGGACTGCGATCTATGACGTTAGAATAATAATATTACGCGGGTGAATACAAAACAATGAAAATAAGATGAATTGTTTGAACAAATGTAATTTGTCAATTTTAACGGCCATATATAGTGATAAAAAAATATTTCCTGTTATTTTTTTTTTGGCATAATTGTCAATTATGAACCTAAAAAATTTAAATAAAGATAAAAAAGAACTAATTTAAAATATGAAGCCATGAACTTTTCAAAAATAGCTAATGGAGTAAATTCGAACCAGTCTTTCTAAATTATTCGAAATATGCTTAAACGGAGAAGTTCCAGAAGAATGGAGACAATCGTATATCTCTCCAATATACAAGAAAGGCACAAAGACGGATCCTAAAAACTATAGAGGGATCGCAGTGATTGCTACTATAGGCCGACTATACTCAAAAGTACTACGAAACCTGATAAAAAATTATATTAAAGACAAACAACCCGAAGAACAAGCGGGATTTAGGGCCGGACGCTCCACTATGAATAATATTTTCACATTAAAAATTGCAACGAAAAAACGAGTGCAGAGAAATAGAGAAACCCATATAGCTTTAATAGATTTGAAAAAAGCATATGGCAGTATACCGAATACCAAATAAATTACTCTCCTTTACTTTTGTCACAATCCAGAAGACGACTAACGCCAGAAAGTGTTCAGACCACAGAACTATAGCATTGATGAGCCACACACTAAAAGTATTTTTTAAAATAATTCACAAAACAATATTTAATAAATTAGAAGAGGACATAAGCACCACACAGTTTGGATTCAGAGGTGGACTGGAAACACGGGAAGCTTTGTTTGGTCTGAGTGTGTTAATGCAGATGTTTGGATGTAAACCAAGACCTCTACGTAGGTTTCACAGATTTTGAGAAGGCCTTCGATAAAGTCAGACAGCAAAAGCTGTATGAAATCCTAAGAAGCAAAAACATCGACAGTCGCGACATTAACATCATATCCAGGTTGTACTGGGGACAAACAGCAAAAATCAAAGTTGATAATGAGTTAACCGAGGAAATTAAGATTCGTCGAGGTGTGCGTCAGGGTTTTGTGCTTTCTCCACTACTATTCAATATATATAGCGAAACAATATGTCAGGAAACGCTCCTAGAGCAAAACATTGGTATGAACATTAACGGAGAGTTAATTAACAATATACGATACGCTGATGACACGCTAATAGTAACAGATAACGTAGCAAATTTACAGTTTTTGATGCAAAACATAAACACTTATACCAATAAGTATGGTCTAAAACTGAACATCAAAAAGACTAAATTCATGATTGTAACAAAGAAGCTATACAACAATATGAATTTAACCATAAACAATCAGCCAGTTGAAAGAATTACGTCCTACAAATATTTAGGGGTTTGCTTCACTGATACTAATGACCAGACAAGAGAAATCAAAGAAGGCAAATAGAGATAGCGAGACAATTGTTTGTCAAAATGAAAAAGTTCCTATGCAGCCGGGACATAAATATAAACTTAAGAACGAGATGTTAAGGTGCTATGTTTTCTCCGTTCTGCTGATCCAGGCATGAAAGCCTGGACACTGAAAAAGATAAACATCAAAAACATTGAGGCATTCGAGATGTGGTGTTACAGGAGAATATGGAAAATACCATGGACAGAAAGAGTAACAAATCAAGATGTTCTGCTGAAGATGGGGAAGGAATGCGAAGTCATAAAAACCATACAAATGAAAAAAACTGGAATATCTGGGCCACATAATGAGAGGAGAAAAGTACTCTCAGCTTAGACTCATAATCC